TGATTACTTATGAAAACCATATTGATTTATCAGTCAGTCAGAGGGAAAACAGAATCTGCCATATATATGTATCGATTCCATATTGTATTAAACATTTGATGTTGACAGTATGAGGTTATGAAGATTGTCGAATTTTATTAAAATCACTAACATATCTAAGGTAGACAATCAGTAGAAACCTGGAGGCACTGAATGACCGCTTCGTACTAGTACGGGACACCCCAACAATGCTTATCCTGAAATTCACAACCTGGAATCGAACCCGGAAACTCTGATCTCACGCTCAAACTCTTAAACTTTTAGACAACTAAGCTGGGATCCAATGGTGTACAGGTCCAACTTCAATCAATCCACGATGTTGCTTGATCATCTATTAGTTTCAGTGGTTACCTTCGTCACACTCAATATGGTTGAACTTCATTGGTTATGGTCTCTCACTAGGACATCATTGGATCTCAGCTCAGTGGTATAGATGTTGAGCGTTGGCGCGCGATACTGAAGGTCATGAGTTCGACTTGCGGTTGCGGAGTCGAGGATGAGCTTTCCTGTGGAGTCTTATACTAGGACAAGATGGACATCTAGTACTTCCAGATTCTTAATGGTTGTCTGACTTAAATCGACTTGTGATTTCAACGAACCATAATACTGAGTGAAGTTTCTATTGTTATTATCATCGGCTTAGTGAAAAGAAATTATGAAAACAAATCCCAGTTTACTTAGAAGCAATAACAAAAAAGAACAACTATGGACAGTTCAATTCGATAAAAATTCGCAGAATAAGACGTATGAGATAATTTTGAAACCCAAGATTGAAGGAAGAATCGAATGAATGAATTTAAGGCATTGTGACCGATTCTGACTCATTTCATTCAACGCCTTCAATTATTGGTCATAGTAATTGGACAGACCCTAGTCTGCATCTACCGACACAGTTCAGGTCAACAGTGGATGAATTTATGGACTGATCCCATGTTTTCATTTAACCACCACGAGCTTTCTTCCAATCCACTCCTACATCCGAAAACATCGCTCAGTCGATGAAAGTTTGTGATCTTATCAACCGATTTGTCATCTTTGCCTGATCCCTTTGTGTCCGACTTTAATGTTGTTCACTAGATCGTCATCATACGCAAACAATATTTCAAAGTCATCTATGATCAAATCCTGTCAACCCAAAAATATCTTCTACTTTTATCGATCATATTTCATACATATAAGAAAAAGCAAAACAGCGTACTGGAGACGTATTCTCACCTTTTAGTTGACATCCCAACAAGCCACAAGTAGATTTCAAAGAGCAAAATGATCTACCTAAAAAATATATTTCCTTTGTAATAATTAGCGCATGCTTTAAAGGCGGAAAAATTACGGGGGAAAGCATTATTAAACATTGTATAACCCTTGATTTATAGGTCAACTTACAAATCAAATGGAATTAAGGTGTAACTTAACAACCTCAATTCTTATTGATCAAAATGATTAACATAATGACAAGTGTTTTCATTGTCACTATAGAAATAAACATTATTAGTCGATTCACATGTATTTGCACCTAATAGTATAATATTAATATTATTGTGATTTTCATCATTCACTAATGATATCAACTGAAGTAACATTGAGGTTCAAGTATTGTATTATATTCCACTTACGGGAATTGAATCCAGGATCTTTTGTCTCTCTCACGAATGCTTAACCGTTAGATTACTGACCCGGGATCCAACGGTGTCAATATCTGATTTCAATCAATCCACGATGATGTGTGGTCATCTTCCATTGTCTGTGATGGGTAACTGTCTCACACGTGACACGATTGAACTCTATCGGTCACAGCTTCTCTATAGAAATACAGGGTCGAGAATGAGCACTGCCGAGAAACCCCATACTAGGACGAAACTACTGTCTAGTAATTCCAAGTTTTTAATGGTGGCCTAACTATGATGGGTTCATGATTTCAATGGGACTCAATAATCTCCACGACCCTAATATATTATACATTTAACCGGTCCGGACATTTATCCGTTCATTAATTTTATGAGTGCTACTTATGAATGGGTAATATTCACTGAAGGCTACATCTCAAGCGTCTAGACTTATTTTCAACAATTTTGCTATTAGCATTTTAATGTAGAACAGCCCAACTTCCAGGATTAAAACACACACTAATATAATGGAAATTAGGACTTGGAATGAAATATTTAATGGAAATTACACTAATATGAAACAGTCATCCAACTGATAAACGAAAATAAGTGGCTCAAAGTGTTGGATATAACACCTATTATTTAAAAATTGAGAATGTGACAGGCCACGATGTAGCCTTAATTCATAAGCATTATAAGCAAAGATGGACAATGGCCAACAATGGAACCCAGTTTGACTCACGTTTCGTCCTATTTGGGACTCGTCAGCTGTATGTGCCTGCATCTCAGAATTGATGTTTACTTTGGAACTCGAACCCAGTACCTTTCGCTTCAAACTCTATCGCGTTATCCACATAGCCACTGAGCCCTGATAGACACTTGCACATATGGACAATAAGAGGCTGATCAATTGTAGTACGAAACGTCAATTGGAAGATTCAAACAAACAATACTAAGTGAATTTAAACTTCAGCCCATCTAACTAGCAAGTGGTTATCAGAACTCAGTGGCCAAGTAGATAACGCGATGACATTTGGAACGAACGTTACTGCGTTCGAGTCCTAGAGTGAACATCAACTCTGTGACGCAGATATATCCAGCTGGCGAGTTCCAAATAGGACGAAACGCGCGTCAAACTGGATTTCACTGCTAGCCACTATCCATCTTTGCTTATTGAATTACATATGTTTGCATGTATTGGATTCAATATTTCTTAATCAATGTTAAAGCATGATCTTTAAAAGGAAACATTCTGTTCATCTTGACGATATATTTGACGTTGAACATATGAGATTATTTATTTATTTATTTCAACACACAAATATTGGTACGAGGAAGCACCAGATACATATGCGCCACACAAATCTCACTTCACTTGTATGGGGGCTGGGATACTGCCCGGGTGACCAAACCGAAGCAGGTGGTTTTCCTAGGGAGCCACACCCGAAGCCTTTGACCTAAAGATTTGATCCACAAGACAGTCGAGCATCGTAAGGAGATGCAGTCCCAGGTAGCCAGTGACCAACGATTGATTCATACGCCATTCGTTCCCTCAGGATACTGGAACACATGTGCACCATTGGTTTAGAATCAGGGTGTTCCAACTGCCCTAGCTGGAATTTCTGTACCCACCAACCCGGTTAAAGCGCCGGACATTCGCTTTTCGTCCTCTTAATTTCGTAAACAACACCCGTTATGCGAGAAGACAATGAGTAGGACTTCCCTGTCAGAGGCTATATACGCGTGACCATGTGAGGGCATTTGGAGAGGGAGAGCAGACTCTCCTCACTCTCGACCGTACCAAGGCATTTGGGAGCATATGAGATTAGTACTTGCAAACAAATTAAATCGCTATAGAAATCTGAAATACAACTTTATTTTTCAGTTTATCTAAAGTGAGTTAAATGCATCTAAATGCATAGCAACTCATGGGTATTATAATATATCTATATCTACTTGTTGTTAATTATCTCAGTAACTATGGTATTAAGAGAATAAAAAGCATTTATAGATAAACGGTACGAAAGTAAAAACAGATGTCTCTAAGGGGGATGGCTTTATCATGCATCGAAAATTCTAAAAAAATATATATTATTGTTGAGAGATCCAATTTAAATGGGTATTATTATACAAAATCTACAAAAGATTAACATTATTCTCCTATTAGATACTATTTGATGAATCTACTGAATAAGTGATTAAGTAGTTTTGTTGATTTGTCTAACAAAATTTGTGATATCCTCCAAATAAACTTTATTAATCAGTCATGATCATCGTAGCACTTTGAATAATTGTACATCAGTCCAGGTTGTCATAACACACCAGTGAAGTGAAACTAGAATTCAAAAGTTGGAGTACAGATAAAGATTAAATACTTCACAGTGGTCTAAAGGTTAAGTGTTCATGTGCCAGACCGAAGGTTCTGTGTTCGAATCTTGCATGCGGGATGGTGGATACGCACTGCCGTGGAGTCTCATATTACGACGAAATCGCCCTACAGTGCTTCCAGGTTTTCAATAGTGGTCTAACATTGATTAATTCAAGTTCTCAATCAAAAACTTCACGATCCTACTTTGACCGATTTTGATTCATGTCATCCATTGTCACCAATTATCTATGAAGATTATCGGACTCAGGTCATAACTAGTTAGTCTACGCCTTCTAATATGGTTCACACCGATAGCCAATCACTTTATAGAATAATGTCACGTCTTGGTTTAACGGTTAGAAATAAAAAAAATGAAATTATTTAATCAGAAGGGGTTTTGTGGAGATTTCACTATTTTTCATTGTTAAAATTATGAGTCAATTGAAGCTAGACCACCATGGAAAACCTGTAAACACTGGACGACCGTTTTGTCCTATTGTGAGACTTCTCAGCAGTGCGCATCCACGACCTCAACGGCCGTCTAGTGCTTCCAGGCTTTCCATAGTGGATATTAAATCATTAGTAAGTGAAATCAAAATAGAATGAATTTTACAATATGAGGTAATCTCTTATTTGTGTGTCTTCAACCACTGACAAATGACAAGTCAATCTGACTGGATATTAAATAGTTCTACAAAAAAAGCTATTAAGCTGTGACTGATGGAGTTCAATTATGTCGGATTTGAGAGTTTCACTTACTGAAGGTAATGAAAGCTGGTCATGCTAAACCACGTAGACATTTACACCGTTGGATGCTTGTTCAGTGATCTAGAGATTCGAAACTTTCCGTAAGGCTAAATGTCTTTGATTTGATTTCTAATGGGGTCGTGAATACTCTCCAAAGAATGAATGTATTTATTAACTCCTCTTACCAGAGTCATGATTGATCTTACTAAACATAGATTCTATGCCCTTTTGTTTTCTCTTAGACTTCATGTATTGTCAAATTGATGTATCTTGGTATATCACGTACTGAAGAGTCAAAAATACTACATACAATTGATCAACAAAAGAATAAGAAAGAAGAGAAGAATTCTATCAATAATAATAATAATAATAATGATACTAATCAATCATTATCACGTTTAGTTACAGTAATTCAACAACCAAATGGTGGTAATACACATACACTTTTTAAAGGTCTACTTCAACCAGGTGGTAAGAATAACCATATATGTGTTAGATTCATTTAAACAATTTGTGATAGTATACGTGATTGATGTTTAATGTTTTCATTGTTATGAATTTTCAACATCTACTAGGATCACCGGGTAAGTAATAATGATGTTAAACGCCAGGGTATTAGGGAATGATAGTAAATCAGTTGATGAGGTCATGAATCTTCATCAACTGAGATGGTTAGGCCATGTGTTACGTATGCCTGAACACCGATTACCACGACACCCTATGCTGACTAGTATTGGTGATCGTTGAAAGAGAGTTAGGGGTGGTCAAACCAAAACATGGCATCAGAACTTGAAGTCATTATCTTCTAGTCTAAGCTATTTCGATGGATGCAGACTATTTGTTTGGGGTCCGCGTGACTGTCGTAACCAATGGTTGGAGATTCTAGGTGACATGGCTCAGAATCGAGCACAATGGCGTAGGTGTATACACTCTTTATCTTCCCTTAAATCTTGAGATTAAAATTGCTTTATATCTGTCTTTCTTCCTGTACTATATCCTTATATACAACCTATCTTTTATATATTAATACCACTAAATTAACTGATTCTATGAATTTGGTATTCATCTTGTTGTGCTAATGAGGTATGGCAACTTGGACTGATGCATAAATGTTCCTGCTCCTGCGTTGTAGCTGACTGACTGACTGAATTGTTCTTACATTTTACATAATTCGTATTAAATTAAAAGCTATTCATTCCTTTGCTTTGAATTTCGTAGAAAAATCCAAGACGCGCTATTTTAAATGTGATTGGTTCATCAGTAAGGAATATTTCTATCAAAAAGATCTGTTATTGAAATATTACTACCTTAGTAAGCAAAGATGGATAGTGGCTAGCAGTGGAATCCAGGACGAAACGCGCGTCCTGGATTCCACTGCTAGCCACTATCCATCTTTGCTTATAATGCTTGTGAATTTAGGCTATATCGAGGCAATACGCACAGTATACACATATGCCAATTAGAGACTGACCAGTTGTAATCTGAAAACATCAATGGGAAGATTCAAACAAACAATACTAAGTAAATTACTACTTTAGGATTCAATAGGTCACTTGTTTAGATTTAAGAATAGATTTTCGATCTTGATCCAGATGACTAAGATGTGCACAAAAGATTCACATTACTTGTATATCTCACCTTTTATTTTGCGACATTCATTCAGATCATCCTTGCTAGTAAGTAATAGATCCAAATAGACCAATTATTCTTATTTACTATTCGTTTCACTATATCCCACTTGTTGACTAATTTGTATTGTATATTAATAAACCCTCATTCTGGTCCACATGTAGTTCCTAACTGAAATTTCAAATGACTTAGTTCAATGGATCATGGATCGAGTATCATAATCTATTTATCTAGTACTCAGTTTAGTTCCTAATGCTAGAGGTTTGAACTATTCAATTCTTTATCTATTTGAATACAACAAGCTGTTGGTTCTCATGTTACTAATTCTGTTTCATAGAGAAAGTAATGGACTTTTCCAACCGTAAGACAGTTTTCATCTGGAACTGGCAACAACAGAAGGGGAATTATTGAAAATTGTAACATACTGAATACCTGTATCGTCCTACCTTGGTACTCAACAAAAATTCTCACCCAAGACCCCCCTCGAGATTGAGGCAGTGGTTATTACAAATATATATCCAGCTGACGAGTCCGAGAACGGATAAGAAACATCCTAAATTACATAGCTAGTCTTAAGCAAAAACCACTGCGTAGGTACCTCGGTGGTTATTGTCTAAATGTTTCGTACTACTTAAATCATTTGTTAGTAGTATAACACAATACGACACTATTGTTTTCACATTTTGGTTTCTCTACTATTAATCCAGATACATTTCAGATTATTTCGAAACGAGTATATGGTTTTCCGTTTTCACTAACTATTTATGTCGATGGTACACAGGATACACGTGTTAGTGCATGTTGTGAGTATCGGCATAGACAAGGAGCTCGTATTGGTGGAAAACATGGCCATTTTGTTTATTTATCTGTTGAAGGTTCATTTCCATGCTTCAGGTGAGTGAAACATATTTAATCATGTACTTGACGGTGGTTTGCAAAAATAATTTCAGAATTTGTAACGGATTAGTTAGTTTGTCAGTGTTCTATGAGACAGTCTCCACAAAATCCCTTTTCTTTATGATATAGTGATAAGAAAAGTACCAAACAGTCAGGTCTTAATTCATTTGGAAACGATTGACCTACAAAACTGATATCCTGAAGTCATTCATGTAATCCAGCCACCTGTTTTTCTGTTATTAGTTTGTATTTAAACATGTTATTAAGTTGGTTTAAATAATTTATTCTTTTGTCTAACGGTCTTTTCTTCGATATCACGCTATTCAGAGGGACCTAATTAATAATCCGGTTCCATCATCGCCCATCACTTAACTGTGTCTTATCATTACATGTTACCTGTCAATTTTAATTTTGCCCATTCATCATAACAATCCAACCTTCTAATGTATAAAATTTTCTATTCACACAGTATAATTTTGTATACAAGACATTGAATTGCCCCCAAATGCCCTGGTACGGCCGAGTGTGGAGAGAGTCCGCTCTCCTTCTCAAAATGCTCTCACATGGCCACGCGTATATAACCTGTAACAGGGAAGTTCTACTCAATGACTTCCCGCATTGCAGGTGTTTTTTACGAAATTGAGAGGACGAAAAGCGAATGTCCGGCGCTTTAAACTGGTTGGTGGACATGGCGCGTCCACTTAGGGGGTTTGGAAAACCCTCATTCCAAACCAATGGTGAACATGAGCTAACTCCAGTATCCTGAGAGAACAAATGGCATATGAACCAATCGTTGGTCATCAGCTGTCATCGGACTTCATCTCCTGACGTTACTCCACTGCCTTGTGGGTTAGACCTTTAGGTCAAAGGCTCGGAGTGTGGCGCCTTAAGAAAACCACCTGCTTCAGTTTGGGAACCCGAGTAGTACCACAGCCCTCACACAAATCAAATGAGATTTGTGTGGCACATATGTATCTGGTTCTCCTTTGTACCAACATTTATGTGTTTAAATAAATAAATAAATAAGACATTGAATTATACTGTTCAGTCTGATTTCAATTAAGAAGTGTTCCATAACTCCAACTCAACAATCGTGTTATGAGAGAAGAGTTCGATAAACAGAAGCTGTTTTGTTGAACTGAATATACACCATTATGGTTGGCAAATAGAATGCAATGGTACTATATAGCTGAGTAAAAACTGCTCACAAGATCCGATTATAGACCTGAAACCTCGAATAAACTGATATTGAAAACATGACCATTGATCAAAAGAAATAGATTGTTTTATCCAAAAAACGACTTGCGTATACAGAGATTATTCATCGAAGAAAATATGGTCAGATATCATAAATGATTTGGGGATATCAGTTTTATTGTTCACTAGTTTAACAACGAATTGAGACATGGATTTTGTTTATCGTAAGAGAAAGAATGAGAATTTTTAAGGATTGTTTCGTTTGAAGAAAATCTACACCGCGTGCCGACTTTAACCAGACAGGAATTGAACTCATATTTGGTTCCAGAAGTGCATACCCTCTAAATTGTTAGATTAAGATACGAATTTTGAAGCTTTTCACTAAGCACATTTCCTCTTAGATCTCATAGTCAGAAATTAGTTTTTTACACATTCAAATTGAGTCATTTAGCGATATTGTACAAACTACGACTGATTGGTCACTGAGTACTGATCTATGTTATGTTTTTCCAGTCGTTTAGTGTTAATCGAATTTTATCGATCTAAATACACTATGGCCACCAGTCTTAGTCACCCGATATTGCGAACCATATTTTTGACATAAGATGATTGGAGATAATCTACAGAACACCTATCCTGACCTAAATTTCATTCTAGTTTGTATTCGTCAGTAAGGAATACCAGAAAATATCTCAGTTTTGAAAAGGATTTACTGCTGCTCGAATATCTCAATGGTAACTGCTCAGATTGTGAAGCTGATTGATATAGATTCAAACCTCACAAGGAGGATCGATTCCCTCGAAATTAAAGGTATGCCTCGATGTCAAGTAAAGAAGGGCGCAGAACATAGACCCAGGGTATCTTATCTACTACGCCAAACGTTGCCAACAGATTTTTTCAAATTTTAAAAACAATTTACTTTTTTTTATAGAGTTGAGATCATGAGTCAATTGAAGCTAGACTACCATGGAAAACCTGGAAGCACTGGACGGCCGTTTCGTCCTATTATGGGACTCCTCAGCAGTGCGCGTCCACGAACCCACCCTCGCGGGATTCGAACCCAGGACCTACCAGTTTCGAGCCGAAGCCCTTAACCGATAGACCACTGAGCTGGCATCCAACGGTGTTAATTTCTAACTTCAACTGATTCACGAAATTGAGCAACCATTCACCAATGTCATCAGTGAGTTCCTATCTCACAACAGACCTGGTTGAACTCCACCGGTTACTGCTTCTCACTAGAACTCCAGGAAATACCTCAAGGAGTCAGTCACTAGTGAGCACCTGATTATTATCAGAAGGGGTTTTGTGGAGATTTTAGTATTTTTATAGAGTTGAGATCATGAGTCAATTGAAGCTAGACTACCATGGAAAACCTGGAAGGACTGGACGGCCGTTTCGTCCTATTATGGGACTCCTCAGCAGTGCGCGTCCACGACACCGCCTCGCGAGATTCGAACCCTAGACCCATCGGTCTCGCGCCTGAGCGCCTAACGACTAGTGAGAAGCAGTAACCGGTGGAGTTCAACCAGGTCTGTTGTGAGATAGGAACTCACTGATGACATTGGTGAATGGTTGCTCAATTTCGTGAATCAGTTGAAGTTAGAAATTAACACCGTTGGATGCCAGCTCAGTGGTCTATCGGTTAAGGGCTTCGGCTCGAAACTGGTAGGTCCTGGGTTCGAATCCCGCGAGGGTGGGTTCGTGGACGCGCACTGCTGAGGAGTCCCATAATAGGACGAAACGGCCGTCCAGTGCTTCCAGGTTTTCCATGGTAGTCTAGCTTCAATTGACTCATGATCTCAACTCTATAAAAATACTAAAATCTCCACAAAACCCCTTCTGATAATTTACTTTTTGTTATAACCTATGGCTATACCAAATATCACATGACAAAAACCGTCAATCAGAATGTCGATTTCTATAACGTTGCCTCTGTGATAAACCAAAAAGCACTAGTAGCACTGAGTCAACTCTGAGTGCTTATTTATCCTCTATGAAATAGCTTCTCCCTCACCCTGGCTGTTCAGTCTAGAACACAAATATCAGCCTCCACTGTATGAACCACATGTTTCAGACTGTAAGGATGGCTCGTTGGTAAACTCTAGGAATCCTCAAGAAGGCCAGAAAGAGCCGGACATGTTCCATCCAATCATTGCTAGGGGAATATTCTAGAATGTCGACGTGTAGCTTCCCCATTGGATGGATAAGAATGACCCCTATGTCCCTATTGGTTGTCTGAAATGATTATTTACTCTCAGTCAAAAACTATAAATACATGAGATTTCTGTACTATATTTTGACACTGTTTTGAGGAATAAAAGTTCTAACTTACTAGTCTTCTGTCTTCTCCATTGCGACGTTTCGGGTTCTATCGTTCAAGTAGTCTGTAGTACGCGACATAGTAAGAATCAAGACTCTAGATATAACACAGACATACTTGATTTATGTACAAGCAGATTGGAATGCATCACACCATAAAAGACAAACTAATAATTATACAAGATAATACCAAAAGTAGTTGTGATTAGGAGAAACTGTATCTAATAGATTGAGAATAAATTGGGAATGGTAAGTCATATTTCAATAACTAATAAGTCAAATAAAAGCTTATGATGAAAGGAATATGAATATGCATATAATCTAGTTCCTTAATACTTATACAATAGGAACGAATATATAATCATAGTATCTATATGATTCCTGGAAGTTACCATTCACTTATTCTTCGTTTGGATATAACATTTTTAGATGTCGAGCACTTAAAAAGCTGAAACAACAACAACAACAACAAGAGAAGATGAAAAGAAAAGAAAAATCCACCACTGATGAAAATGACGGCAACATACAACATAAAGAAGCAGACGAATATGACAATAGTGATGATTTGAAAGGTAATTGAATGAAGAGTCATATTATTTCAGTAAGGATTCGAATTCTTTACTGATATAGTAATAATGAGATAAACATCATAAACGTCAAACAAGTTTGTAATTTTATATAGTTGAGATCAAGAATCAATTGAAACGATATCACCATGGAAAACTTGGAAGCACTGGATTGCTTTTTCATCCAATTGTGGGACTCCTCAACAGTGCGCATTCACGACACCGCCTCGCGAGATTCGAACCCTAGACCCATCGGTCTCGCGCCTGAGCGCCTAACCACTAGACCACTGAGCCGGCTGGCATCCAACGATGTTAATGTCTAACTTCAACCAATCCACAAAATTCAGCAACCATTCACCATGGTGGTCTATCTTCAATTGATTCATGATTTCAACTATATAAAATTACGAGAATCTCCCCAAAACCCCCTTCTGATGGGTTTGTAATTACCTAAACTCAGTATTTCACTGGATAGCATGTTGATGCTACAAGCTAATATTTGCCGGGTTCCTATCTCAATATTGAGCATTAAAACTGGGATACAGATATATTTAGCTAATCAGTTTTAAATAGAAATAAACACGCATCCAGGATTCTACTATTAGCTAAAAGTTAATATATTCTATAAAATATATCTTTAATTTAATAGTTGAGACCATGATAGGTCCTGGGTTCAAACTCTGCGGGGCGGGATCATTGATGCGCATTGATGAGGCGTTCCACGATAGGACGAAACGATCATTTAGTGTATTCAGGTTTTCTATGGTGGTCTAGCTTCAATTGACTTATGATCTCAACTATTAAGTTATTATTATATCCACAACAACCCCTTTCTGATATCTTTAATTGTTTGATTCTCAAAAAGTTTAAAAAATATCCGAAATTACTTATGATCAGTTTGTGTTTATAGAAAATACTAGAATTTCATACATTTTAACTTCCTTTTAAATTTGGTTAGTCAGGTCCTATCTTCGAGAATCTTTTCTTTAGGATTCCTAATGACTGTATATTTGTCTTTTCTTTTTACTTACTTGTTTCATTCGAAATTCGATTGTTAAAGGTTCTAACCTATGAAAATTCTATTATACTGATAATAATCATGAGCTTACTAGTGACTAGCTTCAAAATGTATTTATTGGAGTTTTATAGAGGAGCAATGACCAGTGAAATCTAGTAAGCACAGTTAATCTACCTTAAGTGATGGATGAGGTTTGTTAAATATCATGAACTGATTGGAGCTAGACAGTAACACTGTTGGATTCCAGCTCATTGGTCTAAAGGTTAAAAGTTCGTGTGCAAGACTATGGGTTCTGAGTTTGATTCCCAGATGCGGGTTCATGGATCCATGCTGTTGAGCAATCCCTTGCTAGGACCAAACGATTCTCCAGTACATCCAGGTTTTCAGTGGTAGTCCAACTAAGATGGATTCATGATTTTAAACTATGAATGATGGTCATGGTCTAGAAATCGTCAAGTAGGTTATTATTTTGATCGTTTACTTTAACCAGTTTTAATATTAAAAAAACATTAGTAGTCATAAATATGAATTTAAATAGTATTGTTTGTTTAAGTCTTCCCATTGATGTTTAGGATTGCAATTGATGGCGTTTGAAGCGAAAGGTACTGTGTTCGAGTCCCAGAGCAAACACCAACTCTGATATGCAGGTGAATACAGCTGACGAGTAACAAACAGGATGAAACGCGTGTCGTGGATTCCACTGCTAGCCACTATCCATCTTTGCTTATAGTCATAAATATGGTCAAACACTTGAGATATCAGGTTATATATCACATTGAAATTGACAACTTTAATGTAATTATCCAAATTTGTAATAATAACGTTGGACTCAATTTTATTAGGATTCCCATGATTATCAATTATGAAGTGTCATTTCATTGTTTCATTTTTTTTTATTCGATTCTATCAACCAGTCGTTTTAATCAGATGATATTCATAAGTGCACACTTTTTTAAATTCGAGGTAAAGACCGGTGTTAGGCAAGGTTGATTACTCTCACCCTTTCTCTTTCTCCTGGTGATCGACTGGATCATGAAGACATCAGCATTTGGAGGGAAGCACCTGATACAGTGGACAGCTAGGATGAAGCTAGACGTTTAAGACTTCGTAGATGATCTGGCTCTTCTATCACACATGCATCAACAAATGCAGGAGAAGATGACCAGTGTAGCAACAGCCTCAGCAGCAGTAGGCCTCAATATAAACAAATGGAAAAGCAAGACTCTCCGATACAACACAGAATCCACCAATCGAATTACACGGCAAAGCTTTGGAGGATGTGAAAACCTTTACATATCTGGACAGCATCATCGATGAACACGGTGGATTTGATGCAGATGTGAAGGCGCGGTTCGGCAAAGAAAGAGCAGCATATTTACAACTGAAGAACATCTGGAACTCAAAACAATTGTCAACCAACACCAAGGATAGAATTTTCAACACAAATGTGAAGAGAGTTCTACTGTATGGGGTGGAGAAGTGGAGAACTACGAAAGCCATTATCCAGAAAGTACAAGTGTTTATTAACAGTTGTCTACGCAAGATACTTCGGATCCGTTGGCCTGACACTGTCAGCAGCAAGTTACTGTGGGAGAGAACAAACCATTTTTCAGCGGAGGAAGAAATCAGGAAGAAGCGCTGGAAGTGGATAGGACACACATTGAGGAAATCATCCAACTGCATCACAAGGCAAGCCCTCACATTGAATCCTGGAGACCAAAGGAAAGGAGTAAGACCAAAGCACACATTACTTCGAGAAATGGTGACAGACATGAGAAGAATGAACAAGAATTGGATAGCACTAGAAATGAAGGCCCAGGACAGGGGGAGTGGGTTGGAGAATGCTGGTCGGCGGCCTATGCTCCATTGGGAATAATAGGCATAAGTAAATAAGTAAGCTTACTTTTTTAAAAGTTCAGTAGTACATATTTTCTAACAAAATTTTCAAGCCACTGCTTTTATTTAAACTTCAAGTATATGAAGATGATTTCGAAACAGAAGATAAAAAATTTAATGAAGATGGTGATTATAATGAAATAGAAGAAGAAAAACTGAAAGTCGTTCATCCATCAGGAATAAATAAAGTAGATATAAACACATTGAATCGTGAGAATACACTTTTATCAATTCACAATGATGATTTCGGTAATTATAATCGGTATTTATATTTGTTTATCTTCACATCACCGTATACAAGAGTAGGGTACCTTAATGTATACTGTATTCTTGACTTGAATCATATTTTCTAATTAAACATTCAATTTTTGATCCTTTTAAGGTATTTAGTCTATTTCGTATTGTTCCTTTATTTAAACAGATAAACATTGATACAAAGGAGCACCAAAATATATATGCGCTACGCAAAGCGGTTATAATTCATTTTGTAGGCAGGCTGGGATACTCCCCGAGTGCTCGAACTGAAGCAGGTAGTTTTCTTAGCAGGTCACACTCGATCCTTTGACCTAGAGATCTAATCCACAAGGTAATGAGGTGACGTTAGGAGATGCGGTCCCATGGTACTCTGACGAACAACATAAGGTTCATGCCCTATTTGTTCTTTTGAGATCCTGGAGCCTATGTATAGCATTGGTTTGGAATCAAGGTTTTTCAAGCTCTATAAGTGGATGTTCCGTGCCCACCAACCTGGTTTATCTACCGGATAATCCCTTTTCTTCCCTTAAATTTCGTATCCAACAACCTTGCCGTGAGAAGGCAGTGAGTAGGATTTTTTGGGTGCGCAACAAAAATGTTGTGAAATTACTGATAACCTTTTGCATGTGATTGCTGCTAACCTGCCTAAATTTGTCTTCTAGATGATTCCTAATACCTCGTATATCAATCCCCACGATAACCGTTATTAAGTAAATCCTAATGGTGCATGAATTCAGAATGCAACGCGAAGCACAAACTACAGTAGATTGTTGAGCAGCACCGATCTTCAAGCCAAAAACACACCGAACGAAGTCGAGCGGAAATGCTAATGCGAGCGAGCAGATACGGAGGCTAACTAACAGTCGAATAAAGATTCAAATGAAAAGTCATGTCACCTGATAAGATTCAAGCATATGTATATATACTGTCGTTTAATAATTTTAAAAAAACTTTGGCTAGCTCTATACCCCTATCATTGTTCTGATTATCATCGAATCCAGGGATTGATTCTAAGTCGACAGTTGGAAATTTTGATTGATTGTAGAAAAATGGGGAAAAATCACAACCTTTCGCCAGGCAGTGTTTAATTTAAAACATACAGTTAGAAATGAAATTGTTCAGTCTCTTTTGGCATATATGCATCCTATGAGTATCGCCTCTATATAGCTATTACGTCACAAGCGGATAAATTCATCTGATGAATCCCAAATAGGACTAAATGCGCGTCTTGGACTCCACTAATAGCCGCCATCCATCTTTGTATATAATTAATGAAATAAAAAGAGTTGCGAAACCAAATTGTCAACTTTTTTCGAGGAACAGTTAAAGTATACAAGTTGGGAGGATAACACTGAATTAATTCAGGCATACTGAATACTGTATTTTGCGATGGTACCTTTTATATTCTCGGGAAAACCGCTATTTTTTATAGGTGAGGACAAAACTTGTTACTTTTTACTATTACTTACTTACTTACGCCTGTTACTACCGATGGAGCATAGGCCGCTGACCAGCATTCTCCAACCCACTCCCCCTGTCCTGGACCTTCTTTTCTAGTTCTATCCAGTTTTGTTCATTCTTCTCATGTCTGTTTTTATTTCTCGGTGTAATGTGTTCTTTGGTCTTCCTCGTTTCCTTTGGCCTTCACGATTCAATGTGAGGGCTTGTCTTGTGACGCAATCGGGTGATTTCCTCAAGGTGTGTACTATATAATAGGATAAAGTCTGATATTATTCAACTCAAGGAAGAAAGTATGTTTGTAAATGAGGATCTATTTATGTACCAAACTTAAATTCACAAATTATACCAACCATTGAGTTCATTACTGATTCAAAAACTATGTCATTGTATATGATTTACTGAACTCGTGACTAATAGGCAAGTATGGATATATTTAATATTGAACTAGGCAGTATTTGATACGGTGGTGTATACTACTTATGTCTGTTGACATTAGTAGTATGTAATATGTAACGCATATGCACCTTTTACTCGATCCGAATGATAAGTTGAAATACAATACTGTGTAAATCGATATATTTCAAAATATTATTAACAGTTCGATGTATTTTTTTTACTTTACAGATTCAGTTAGTTCTTCGTCGACGATCTCAAAGCATGTAAGTTCTTTAATATTTATGTTGTGACGGGTGATTTTCAAAATGTGATACTGATACACGGTGTGCTATGCGCTGACCCCCGGCCCCCCCCCCCAACTGATCGAGAACACAAGTGTGAGCGACAAAAAGTGTATTGGACTACCGAATAAAATGCACAAGAACTCGTTCCCATATATATGTACAACTCTGATCCTTAGGAAATTGATCTATTTCTTAGACAAATAAAAGTGAACTCAAATTGGGGTTAAATCCCTAGTTAATTTAAAAAACTGGACAGAACACCTTTCAATTTAAATGAGGAGATAACATGAGAGAACAGATTTAAAAAACCCTCAGATCAAGATATAAAAAAAAATACACAAAGATGCTGACTATTAGTTCTCGTAACGGCGAGACTATAATTTATGGACGAGCCAATCAGAAGTGTTTGAGGGATTTCAAGGTCACGGCGCCAATTTCAGTGCTTGATGCTCATGTACGATCGGTTTACAAAGAATTTTAGAGAAGACTTGACAATTAAGCGGCTACAACAATTGAAACTACTAAGAAGTTCCTTTATTTGTGATTGTGGTAATTAAGTGACTTGTAGACCTTGTGCAGACTACCGTGATGTTGTCTTTCGATGTAATATATGTTGAAGGAAGACGTTTGCTAGAATAGGAACCTTTATCGCTCGATCCAGATTTAGACCGAGGCATATTATAATAATTGCCGCGAACTGTATGATAAAAACGCCAGTAACATTGTCTGCAATAATCACAGATGTTACTGAAGCCTCGGCTGTTCAGTGGTATGAGTGTTGTGGAGACATACCCATAATAAAAATGATAAACTTACACAACTGGAGTACACACAAACAATAATGAAGCTACATAGTCAAGGCTGTTAGGGTTTTTGTGACCTTATCATGGTTCCAGAGACCAACTATTATGGAGCCATATGGATGAGTTACTTTACCTTATCCATTACGATTTTAAAACCTTTGAACCTTTTCCTAACATAAACAAGCTTTGGCTAACATTTCTCAAGGTCACTTAAGATTCGTTCAAAGATCGTCCTTAAATTATAGTCTCCCCCTCGTAACTCATGAATGACATGACTTAAGATTTAGCACACTTCAAAGATTTTAAGAGTTTTTTTGCAAACTTTTATCCTTAATCCGTGGTTAAGATACTTGTCACAATTTGATTCGTTAGTTTATCGTTGTGTAGTTAGCTAATTTAAACTGCTATTGATTAGTCAGAAAAGACAGACTTATATTTCACATATAACTGGTTGGTTTCATATCGTAAATGATTTCATCCTAGCGTGTATTTATGTTCATAAATGTTTTGTATATTGACATCTAGTTATCGATTAATGATTAGATACCGACGTCTGTGCTCTTCTTCTAGGTATAACTCATATACCCATGTTTTTCTTTTGATTTATCTTGAAACGACAGTCAATCCAGACGTTCATTTGAACAAATTAATAGTTATATGAACTCATAAACTCAATAGTGAACTCATTTGGATTTGAAAGTACTAGGTTCAGATCTCAATGTGAACATGAATAATAGGATGATCGCACATCTGCAGCTGACGAGTTCCAACTAGAAAATAAACGTGCATCCTTCATCCCACTGATAACCGAATACCGAATATACTAAATATGATTATTTTGTGTTGACTGTTTGTGATACATTACTGACTTCTTCGACTGTCATTCATTCATTAAGGCGGCCTGCTTGAATACCTGGGCTACCTGTTTCTGCCATCTAAATATTTCAACAAGTTATCTGAGTGTTTTTTTAATTTGTTTTAACCTATCATTATGTCTATTAATCGCATAACCTACACAGGCGCGTTTATAAAATGCTTACGTCCTTTCGCTGCAAAAATTACAAACAAGCACAATAAGAGACATCGTGGTGGTTGGCAATATGCTTTAAAGAGAATAAACATCAATCAAATGTCGATTCCCGAGCTACTTAACTCTAACTGTCGATCACTAATTAACAAGGTGGACTATCTCCGATTTCTGCTAAGTCAAAATATGTATCGTAATTGTGGTGTCATCACAATTCAAGAATCTTGGTTAACTGACTTACATGATGATTGCTTAGTGTCATTACGTGATTTTAATATATATCGTCAGGATCGATCAAACAATAAAAAGACTTGTGGTGGCGGAGTAGCTACTTTTGTAAACGTTAACTGGTGTAGATCTACTTTTGCCTGTTTCAAGTTTTCAAACGACTTTATTGACTGTCTTACTTTAAGGTGCCGTCCAAAACACCTGAATAAATACAAATATATTTATGTTACCAATATCTACATGACTCCAGACTGCACATCATCTGCGCTATCTGTCTTCACTGATAAATTTACTGAATTCGCCGTTACTGCCTTCAGTGATTCACTTTCAATTGTATGTGGTGATTTCAATTCATGTGACTTTAGCTTCCTTACATCACTAGGTCACCTAAATGTAGTAGATTTTCCTACTCGTTTGAATGCTCATCTAGACTTGGTTTTCATTAATGATGTGGGTGCCTATGTGACTCGCAAACGTGCTCCATTGTCTAGTTCGGATCACTGTATAATTCGTGTCTTACCTAAAATATATGGTAAACATGGAAAGAGTACACACATACACCATACCAAAAAAGTAATATATAGGAATTACTCAGAAGAAAATTTACAAAATCTAAAAGACATGTTTCGTACGACCAACTGGGAATTATTTACAGATGATTCAATAGAAAACACAACGGATGTTATCACCTCTTATCTTAAATTTTGTTTTGATATTTGCTGTCCTACCGAAACCTTCTTTTTAAGTTTTGATCGACTTACATCTCCACAACTAAAACGACTACGGAGGGTAAAAGAAAGGATGTACAAGGAGAAAAACGCTATTGAAGTTCGTAAGTTAAATGATCAAATAAACCAAGAGATTAGACGTCTCAACTGTGTGTTCACTCAAAAACTCCTATCTTGTAGAAGCTCTCCAAGTATGTGGAAAATCTTTAAAGAAATTACAGGGGACAGGCAGACTAGAAGCGATAACCAGCTAAATGTTTGTGACTTAAATAAGTCCTTTATTCAACAGTCATCTGCCATCATGCTCCCTATATCCAAGGGTTTGAAGAATAATTGTGTCCTCAGTTTTACTGAAAATGATGTCCGGAAATGTCTCCAGTCTCTGAATTCATCCCAATGTTTAGGACCTGATGGTATCCCAAACCTCCTTTTTAAAAAATGTGCCGATGTTTTATGTTATCCATTAATGAATATCTTTAACAGATCCTTCTCAACTAATGTCTTACCGAAAATGTGGAGAAAGATAAAGGTAATCCCTATACCTAAGAAGGCTTCTGGTGATAAAAATGCGAAACTTAGACCCATAGCAATAACCTCACCTTTCCTCAAAATAATGGAAAAATTACTGATACAACCACTTCAACCTGTAATAAAAGAGCACTGTGATCCATATCAGTTTGCTTACAAATGCAAAAGAAGCACATTAGATGCCGTTGCTGTTCTGCATCACAATATAGTGTTCGGGTTGGAAAAGGGTAAGAAGTATGTTAGATGCGCTTTCCTGGACTTTACTTCTGCCTTTGATTCTATTCCAAGACACACCTTACTTAACAAGCTGATCAGCGTCGATACTGACAGCTGGATAACCAATTGGCTATGTTCCTACCTTTCTGGAAGAGAACAGTACACTGTCTTTGAAGGAAAGTGTTCAACATCTCTACTGTCTACTGTAGGTGTGCCACAAGGAGCTGTTCTTTCACCTCTACTCTTCTCTTTCTTTTTGCATGATCTGCCATCTTCCACAGAAAACACCTTTGTAAAATATGCGGACGACCTCACCGTATGTATGCCAATTTCTACCTCCTTACATCCTATAGAAATGAATGAGTTTTTATCTCGTATTGAAAGGTGGTCTGTTGGTAATGGTCTCTTACTCAATCCATCTAAATGTCAAGCTGTTAATTTTAGCTTGAGACATGGACAGAACCTACGCTCTATTTTGGGATCCCATAATGCTTGTGCCATTGGAGACTCCTTAATAAACACAGTGTCGAAGGTCAAATATCTTGGTGTCCTTTTTTCCTCTGATCTTTCTTGGTCTTCTCATGTTTTGCTGTTATCGAAAAAAGTTTACCGTTTGACATATTACATAAAGAGGCTGCATGCTTTTGGGATTACTCGCCATTTACTCTTACAATTTGTAAACTCCTGCATATTACCTATTATTTTATATTGTTCTCCATTATTCTTTCCTGGGCTTTTGAGAAAAGACTTTGCTATTTTGCGTAGAGTGTTGAAGGCAATTTGCAAGGTATGTGGTGAATCTTTTGAAGTCATTGTTAATATGCTTGTGGATAGACATCTTAAGTCTTGCAAACTCTTTGCAGGTGTTATCTTATCAGATACTAACCATCCGCTTCATTCATATCTTTCTCCTTGTATATCTTCTGGTAGAACGAGACGTAAATACATTAAAATTTATGCACGCAAGCAAATCTATAAAAGTTCTGTAATACCTTACTTAGCTAATTTACTTTGTGACGAACAGGCTGTTAGAGTTGACCTAGTAAATAACCTGTCTTCTTAAAGATGTCTCATATTCGATAATTTGTATAAACTCAGATTTTCTTAAACCTTTTTTATATTTTATTTCTGTTTTTTGTTGTTTTTTTTTTTTTTTTTTTTTTTGGTTTTATTTTTTGGGAAAAACTTGTTGAAATAACTCGTGCTGAGAATTCTTTATTGTACCAGATTATAATATAGAATAAAGCCATTAATAATAATAATAATAATAATAATTTTCTGAATACTTTAGAATTGTCAAGAAGCTTCTCATTCGCCTTCAATAGGACCTGAAAAGATGGATAATTCCAAAGGTATGTTTACTATTGTCGTTTTAATATAGATGAACATGTGTGTGCAGATATCTGATTAGTTTTGTTGACTTAAGTAAATGTAACAAATAATAGTTTATTCATGTCCACACCACAAACATAACTTGTAAATTGTAGGCAAAGATGGATAGTGGCTAGCAGTGGAATCCAGTTTGACGAGCGTTTCGTCCTATTTGGGACTCATCAGTTGGATGTATCTGCATCTCGGAATTGATGTTCACTGTGGGACTGCAACCCAGTACCGTTCGCTTCAAACGCCATCACGTTATCCACTCGGCCTCTGAGTTCTGATAGCCACTTGCTTGTGCAATGGGGTGAAGTTAAAATTCATTTAGTATTGTTTGTTTGAATCTTCTCATTTGTGATAATGTCAAGATACTACTTACTATTTTAAAAGTAGTTCAACTCGCATCTTAAAATGTCATGATTTGGTTATGACAAGATGAGTGGTCTCAGTATAACTGACAATAATCTTAGTATTGTATTATTGAAAATTGTTATCATTGTTAATCAAGATCATACACATGGCCTCTGAAAACCAATATTTGTTGAAGCTAAATTTTAGACCTCTCTGTAGAGAATGATTTCTGTTCTATTATGGTCAGGTTGGGCTTCAAACAACAATATAACCATAACAATGTCTTGAACTCAGTGAAATAGCGAACATAGTACGACGTTCATACACAACATGATGAAGACTATCAGCGAATTACTATTGATGAAATAATCTGATAATTCAATTTGAATCTTGACACAATTTCGCTTCAGCCTACAGAGTAACTTCTCTTTATACGAATTAGATTCTTTAGAAGCCTTATGTGTTCATTAAACAGAGTTATTATGTTGTTAAAATTAACCTTTTTTCTAATTCACGACTGTTTAATGAAATAAATCAGGATTTTTCACATTTGCCTTCACATCTTTTGAAATAACACCCTCTTCTTGTTAATGTAAAGCTCCGTAGTTTGAAACGACACTTATTTGTTCTAAGTTTCCCTTATTCCTAGATGTCTCAATCACTATTTAAATTTAGTCCTTTGTTTTGTGACCATGAGTAAGAGGCTTAAATGTCCTAAGTTCGATCTTTGGCTGAGTCATAGTTGCACATTGCTGATGAGTTCGTTATTAGCTTTAAATAGGTAGTGTACTCTCCTTAAATTTTAGTGCATGATGTAAATTGCCATCAAATTAAACAGTTTCCACAAACCTCTCATCCTAAAGACATTGGAATTTCCCATAATTCTGACTTTTTTTCTAACACATTAATTTCATAGTGGATCTTCTTCTTGTTCTTTTACTGGCATTCAAGATTTTTTTTGGCAGAACGAGTAGATCATTTTATATGTATGATATAGTTTTCAATAGCTGAATTTATCGATCAGTATTATTTCACATAGTATACAAACAAATTACTTTCATAGTTGAATTCATGAGTCAGTTGAAGCTAGACGACCATGGAAAACCTGGAAGCACTGGACGTCCGTTTCATCCTATTGTGGGACTCCTTAGCAGTGCACACCCACGATCCCGCCTCGCGAGATCCGAACCCAGAACTTATCAGTCTCCCGCGCGAGAGTTTAACCACTAGATCACTGAGCCGGAATCCGATAGTGTTAATGTCTGACTTCAACCAATCCACGAATTTGAGCAACCGTTCACCAATTGTTTTCAGTGAGTTGACTGACTTCAAGAGATATTTCCTGTAGTTCTAGGGAGAAGCAGTGATTGGTGGAGTTCAACCACATCTGTTGTGAGATATCAACTCACTGAAGACATTGGTGAATGGTTACTCAGTTTCGTGGATTGGCTGAATTTAGACATTAACAACATTATATGCCAGCCGGCTCAGTGGTCTAGTGGTTAAGCGCTCGAGTGCGAGACTGATGGGTCATGGGTTTGAATCTCGCGAGGCGGGATCGTGGATGCTCGCTGCTGAGGAGTCCCACAATATGACGAAACGGCCGTCCAGCGCTTCCAGGTTTTCCATGATGGTCTGGCTTCAATTGACTCATGATTTCAACTATATAAAATTGAATAATTTCTAATTGTCAAGCCACAAAATTTAATTTGTTTTTTCTATTACTTACTTACTTACTCCTGTTACCCCTCGTTGAGGAGCATAGGCCGCTCACCAGCATTCTCTATCCAACTCTGTCCTGAGCCTTCCTTTCCAGTTCTTTCCAGTTAACATTCATCATTTTCATATCTGCTTCTATTTCCCGGCGTAGTGTGTTCTTTGGCCTTCCTCTTTTCCGATTCCCTTCCGGATTCCAAGTTAGGGATTGAGTCGTGATGCACGTTGGTGATTTCCTTAATGTATTTCCGATCCACTTCCAACGTCTTTTGCTAATTTCCTCTTCAGCTGGAAGCTGGTTCGTTCTCTCCCATAAAACGCTGTTGCTGATAGTATCCAGCCAATGAATGTTGAGTATTTTGCGTAGACAACTGTTTATAAATACTTGTACCTTCCTGATGATGGCCGTAGTAGTTCTCCACGTTTCAGCTCCATACAGTAGGACTGTCTTGACGTTCGTATTAAAGATTCTCACCTTGAAATTGGTTGAGAGTTGTTTTGAGTTCCATATGTTCTGCAATTGTAGAAATGCTGCCCTTGCTTTGCCAATCCTCGCCTTTACATCTGCATCCGATCCTCCTTGTTTATGAACGATGCTCTCCAGGTACTTGAATGTTTCCACCTCTTCCAGAGTTTCGCCATCAAGTGTGATTGGGTTGGTGTTCTCGTGTTGCATTTGAGAATCTTGCTTTGTGAATGTGGAGGCCTATTGATGCGGAGGCTGCTGCTACATTAGTTGTCTTCATCTGTATTTGTTCGTGTGTATGAGAGAGGAGGGCTAGGTCATCTTCGAAGTCCAAATCATCTAATTGATTCTGAGAAGTCCATTGTATTCCGTATTTCCCGTCAGATGTCGAATTCTTCATAATCCAGTCAATCACCAGAAGGAAGAGGAATGGGGAGAGTAGACAGCCTTGTCTGACTCCGGTCCTTACTGGAAATGCATCTGTCAGCTGTCCTCCATGCACCACTTTGCACTGTAGTCCATCATATGAGTTTTGGATAATGTTGACAATCTTTTCAGGAACTCCATAGTGTCGAAGAAGTTTCCATAATGTTCTCCTGTTCACGCTGTCAAACGCCTTTTCACAGCCAATGAAGTTGACGTATAGTGATGAGTTCCACTCAACCGATTGTTCAACGATGATCCGTAGTGTCGCAATCTGGTCTGTGCACGACCTATCCTTACGGAATCCAGCCTGTTGATTCCGAAGTTCGGCGTCTACTACGTCTTTCATCCTGTTCAGCGGCATTCTGTTGAAAACTTTTCCTGGTACTGATAACAAACTGATGCCTCTGTAGTTTTCACATTTGCTCAGATCTCCTTTCTTTGGTATCTTGATGAGATATCCTTCTTTCCAGTCCGTTGGCACTTGTTCCTCTTCCCAAATCTTCTTGAATAGAAGGTGAAGCATGTTTGCAGTTATTTCAATGTCTGACTTTAGTGCTTCTGCTGGTATATTGTCAGGTCCTGCCGCCTTCCCACTTTTGATTTGTCTGATGGCCATCTTGACTTCTTCGATCGTTGGTGGAGTGACATCTATAGGAAGGTCAGTGTGTGCTGCTTCGATGTCCGGTAGATTAAATGGAGCTGATCTATTCAGCAGTTCCTCGAAGTATTCTACCTATCTTTTCCTTTGTTCTTGAATCTCTGTGATTGTCTTTCCTTCTTTGTCCTTGATTGGTCTCTCTGGTTTGCTATATCTTCCTGCCAATTTCTTCGTTGTATCATATAGTTGTTTCATATTTCCTTCCCTTGCAGCTTTTTCCGCCGTCGTTGCTAGTTTTCCCATGTATTTCTGCTTGTCGGCTTTAATGCTTTTCTTCACTTGCTTGTTTGCTTCTGCATAGTCTGCTTGTGCTTTGACTTTCTCTGCTCGTGTTCGGCTGTTGTTAATTGCTAGTTTCTTGTTCTTCCTTTCTTGAATTTTGTCCAGGGTTCCCATAGAGATCCATTCCTTGTGATGATGCTTCTTAGGACCAAGAACCTGCTGACACTTTGGAGTTAGTGCTTCTTTTATCCCTTTCCAGTTGTCCTCCAAAGTAGTTTCTTGTTCATTCAGTAGATCCTGTAGAGCTTGGAACCTGTTGTTGAGAGTTATCTTGAATTCACGGAGCTTGTCAGTATCTCGAAGGAAGGCTGTATTGAACGTTCGTATTGATGTTTCCTTAGCTGTCCAGTGTTTATTTAGCTTCATTTTTATCTTGGCCACAACCAGGTGGTGATCTGAAGCTATGTCAGCTCCTCTCCGGGTTCTCACATCTTCCATTGATCTTCGGAATTTTTTGTTGATACAGATGTGATCTATCTGGTTCTCTGTGGTTTGGTCCGGTGAGGTCCATGTAGCTTTGTGTATGCGCTTGTGTGGGAATATTGTGCCGCTCCTGAGTGTGTGGAGCATTTTCCCCTTCGTGACCTGAGTACAGCAGCATCTCTCCTGTACCTAGCCTTTGTTGTCCAGTTTGTGTCCAATGGGTTTCGCTGATTCCGAGTACTGCCAAGTTGTATCTTCTCATTTCTATTGCTATTTGGCTGGTCTTTCCTGTCTCCCACATTGTCCGGACGTTCCATGTACCTATAAAGAGTGTTGCTCTGGTTGTTAGAAGGTGCATCGGTCTCGTGACTTCCGAAGAATTTCGGCTTTCATCATGAGACGTCATAATTATTCCTTCAACTCCCAGGGCAGATTTTAAATGGTTTGAATTATTTTTTCTGGTTAGCGTTTTTTTAGCGAGTTAGCTTTTCTACGGGATGGGGTCGCTAACCTCATGCTCAACCCTCCTCCTTTATCCGGGCTTGGGACCGGCAGTAACTCTAGAAGAGCTACAGGCGGAGTTTGTTTGTAATATACTACTTATTTATCACTTTATTTCGTTTTTGTGAATTTTTTTCCCTCGCATATTTATTAGAAATTGATTATGATGAAATCAATTTAATTGAATATTTCAAAGCTGCTTTACATTCACTTGTCTTAAATGAAAATAACATTAATGGTTGTTTACGATGTATAATTTGGTTAAGTATCTCACTTAAACAATGTGCGATAATGAAATATGATGATGAAGATGATGATGAAGATCATGATACATTGGAATTAACCAAGAAAGATCAATTTTGTGAAGCAATTATTAGACAACAGGATGAGGAATTAATGCGCCTTGTTTTACCAAAACCAAATACTAGTGATAAGTAGGTTACTATTCTTGTATATATAATCGAATTAATGATTTGATGATGACTTCCACATATAAACTCAGTGGTTTAAAGGTTAAGTACTCATTACAAGACCAGAATGTTCTAGATTTAACCTATTCTGTCGATGCGTACCGCTAACGAATTTCCTGGCTTTCAATAGTTATCTAACCAAGATTAGTCAGTCAGTCAAAACATAGAACTTCTTACATACGTACGTACATCAGTTCGAGTTGCAATACCACATTAACACAGAGATGAAGTTGTCGATTCAAATACCATAGTGGTAGAAGTAGTAAGAGTATAAGTATTATGTGAAAGATTCGGGTTTGAAGATGTTATTGAAGGAGTATAATCCAATGAAATAAATTTTGAGAGAAAAAAAAAGAAAGGGACATGAAGAATTCAGAAGATTAGAATTTGGGAGAACATAAAGAGTGGATGCACCTCCGCCATTTCAAACGATTTTGAGTCATGTGACTCAAGGTCTCTAACCATCGATTGCTATCATCTCGCGAATCCCAACCAGGTAGTACACACCTACCAACATGGCCCAGTCCACTTGTAAGTGACTTCATGGATTTGTGCCACGTTTTGGTGTAACCGTCCCTAGCTTTCTTCCAACCTACTCCTACATCATAAAACATTGCATGTCGGGACAGTCGGTGGTTGAGCATACGTAACACGTGTCCCAGCCATTTCAACTGATGAAGTTTCACTACTTCATCAGTCGATTTGCCATCCTTACCTAGTACTCGTTTCCTAATAACTGCATTAGTTACCCGGTGGTCCCAGGATACACGAGCAATGCTTCGAAGACATCTATGATCGAATACTAGCAGCCTACAAATATCCTCTACTTTTACCGGCCATGTTTCACTTCCATAAATTAGGACGGAACGGACTGCTGCACAGTAAACCCGTCCTTTGGTTGCTAGACGAATATCTCGCCACAATATAAATTATACAATTCAACTATCCCTATGATTCCCAATATAAAGTAAAGTTTTAATGAATTAGATTATAAGTGATCTATAAAATTGATTTCCTCTAATCCCCTGTGACATTGAATCACATTTTAAGAAGTAGTTTATATAACTCAAGAAATGGATCATATCTGTTGATTTTAACTGTTTAATCCCATGATATTAAAAGATCTGGCTTATCAATTCAGCAATTAATCAATGGTTAATACCACCCAATATAGTTTATTCATATCTGACGATTGATCATGGAAATAAATCTTACGTAACTCAATGTAATCAGATATAGTTTTAATATATTTTTAGTGTTTCATTAATTCTTATTTATTTATTTAAACACATAAATATTGGTACAAGGAAGCACCAGATACATATGCGCCATACAAATCTCATTTGATTTGTGTGAGGGCTGTGATACTGCCCGGGTGACCAAACCGAAGCAGGTGGTTTTCTTAGGGGGCCACACCCCGGAGCCTTTGACCTAAAGATCTGATCCAAAAGACAGTGGAGCATCGTAAGGAGATGCAGTCCCATGGTAGTCGGTAACCAACGATTGATTCATACAGGTTTTGTTCCCTTAGGATACTGGAGTTAGCTCATGTTCACCATTGGTTTGGAATGAGGGTTTTCCAACGCCCCTAGGTGGACTTTCTGTGTCCACCAACCCGGTTAAAGCGTCGGACATTCGCTTTTCGTCTTTTCAATTTCGTAAACAACAATAATGCCACGAGAAGGCAGTGAGTAGGACTTCTCTGGCAGTGGTTGTATACGCGTGGCCATGTGAGAGCATTTGGAGAGGGAGAGCGGACTCTCCCCACTCTCGGCCGTACCGGGGCATTAATTATTAACTTCTATACAACGTATAGATTACAATTTCCTGTAATGAATACCAGTTTCTCACAACTAGAGGAAGTAGTAAATAGAAAACGTAGTATAAACATATCACTATACATTATTGGTTTATTTATTGGCTATTTAAATAAATATGGAACATATTGTTTAACAGTATGGTGGCTCATTAATTTAATGGCCCACTTTGATCTGACACTAATTTGTATGTATAAATCAATATGCTATTGTAATGAACGAAACTTGAATGAGGTCAACCAGTCTATTAATTCATACAAAATTACAGAATATCTTCGTAAAATATAAGAACCATACATTAAATGCCTGTTGGCATAAGTAGCATACACCACACTTGTCCCCCTTCAAACAGTCGCTCTCGCAGTGGTTCTGCCCTTTGTACTACTTACCCCTTGCCACAATCTGCGGCACGATCCCCGTCAAAATGTGGAGTATAAGGTGCTCTGACCTTCGCAGCATTATTGACCTGCCGAGCCATCTATATCCGAAGTCCATCCAGAAGCCGTATGTCTCACTGCCTCCGTTCGTCAACAACAACCGTCACAACCAACGCCAACTCACCCAACAACTCTCTACTTGACGTCACCAACCTGCACCAGACCGCCCTAGCTAGCACCTCCTCCCAGGCCCCACAACGCCGTCTGAAGAGCTCATCCTCTCAGCCCCCTGGTTGGCGAGGATATCATGTGTGATGAACGAGAAATCACGGGGGGGGGGAACCAATTCTAATATTTCATACAAAATTGAAGAATATCTTCGTAAAGTATGAGAACTATACATTAAATGTCTGTCAACATTAGTAGCATACACCATATTGTGACTATAAATCTCCTATCTAATTCCGTATACCACACCCAGGCTTACCTCGCTTGCTCGATGGCAATGATAAGAAGCCAAATACAAATAGAGTAGGATGGGTTTATTTCAGGCACTCGTCTATTCAGGCAGACATAAAACTAAGGGTCGGGAAAGCAAAGCGGAAATGGTAAATGTGTTGACTCAATTTGAAAAAAAGATTCACTGTTTATAACCAGGTGAAAATAAACTACAGGCATGTGATGAATGGGGTAAACGATACATACATGCTTCGACAACAGCAGTCAAGCTTGTAAGAGAATAATTGATAAGCTCAAAATATATGTTTGGATAACGACTTAGGAAGAATAAATTAACTGGTTTATCCAATAGCCAGAAAAACCCATTTAGGCGTGATACGGTACTAGACACTACAACATTATTTGGTCTCCTATATATATATATATATATTCAACAATTTGATTTTTATAATCCGCTAATTATTCTTTTTTTGATGCTAGATTGAAACTGCGCTGGCCACTGAACGATTTGAAGATTACAGATAAAATTAAATATGTTGATTTTTGCAATTTGTCGAATGTTTTAACTATGCCACTATCTGATGTTGAAAAACTTGAGGTAAGCCAGTTTCTCACTAATATATATAGTAATTAGTACAAATGCCCTAGTACCGCTGAGTCTGGAGAGAGCCCATTGTACCTCTTGAAATGCTCTCATATGACCACTCGTATATAGCTACTCACAGGAATGTCCTATTCACCTTCGTTTCGCTGCCGGAATGTCGTTTACAAAATCGAAAGTGTGAAAAGTGAATTTCCAACTCCAGTCGAGTTGATGGGCACGGATGATTCATCTAGACGAGTTGGGAATCCATGATTTCAAACCACTTTTACTCATGGTCTCAAGGATTCCGAAAGTACGAATCGCGTATAAACCTATTATTAGTCACCGGCTCCAATTGGATCGCATCTTCTAACGTTGCTTTACCGTTTAGTGGTTTAGATCTCTAGATCAAAGTCTCGGAGTATAGCTTACTAGGAAAACTAACTGCTTCGGTTTTGGCACCCGGGCAGTATCCCATAAGCCCTCACACAAATTTTGTGTGTCATATATATATATATATATATATATATATATATATATATATATTAATGGATCGGTTACAGCTAGACCACCATGGAAAACCTGGAAACAATGGACGGCCGTTTCATCCTAGTATAGGAGTCAGACAATAACACCATCGGATGCTGGCTCAGTGGTCTAGAGGTCAAACATTCACAAGCTAGACCGAAGGTCCTTTGTTCGGGTACTGCATGTGGGATCGTGGATGAGATTAAATGTAATACCAGTTGGGGGTAAAAGATAGAAGGGGAAGCAGATGGCTATAAAGGAAGAAGAGTATGAAAAAAAAATTTATCAGACATTAAGACCATGGTAGGAGAAGAGGTTGTACCAGTCTCTTTTGGACATACAATTCTGGTTTTTCCAGATGTATGGCTATTGCTCCGATAATGCTAAGAAGATGCAATATAATTGTCTTTGGAAGACTTCTGCTTACCTTGTAGATCACTTTGAACGCATAGTCTGTTTTGATTGAGTGACATTATTGAACTTCTTATTGAGTCATTTCCTCCTCTCCTTAGCCACGTCGGAAAATGTTCTTGAATTCTTTTGGATAAAGTTACCATCCAACGACCTATATACCTGGCTCCACATGAACAGATAAACTCATCTGCTGATAATTGCCAATTAGCATATATCAAGGGTATCCCGTTAACGGCTTCTAATCACCTAACATCTCATCATATTGCACACGATGTCAAGTCACCTACACTTGTAGTCGGTCACATTACAACTTGATTGATATAGTTCAATCAGCACTGAATCGAGTCTATAAATACAACATTGATCATTATCTACTGGTCAATCGATTAAAAATCTGATCTCACATAGTCGTTTTCTGTCTCAGTTCACGGTTGTGCAACACTGAGAAGTTATGTAAAAGATAATTAGCCTTCATCTATTCTATTGAGTTGATTACATTTTGATTTAAAACTAATCTGAATATATGAAAAAAGGGTATGAAGTTGAAAATAATGAAAACGGTATCCTTTTTGGTTACTGAGTCAAAATGGATTAGTCATTAACTTCAGGTTGGCTTTTCTAACATTCTTCAATTCATGATATGATTAAGCAAATTCTAATTATATAATCACTGATAAATGTAATAATACTCATAGTTGAAATCATGAGTCAATTGAAGCTAGACCACCATGGAAAATCTGGAAGCACTGTACGGCGGTTTCGTCCTAATATGGGACTCCCCAACAGTGCGCATCCACGATCCCGCACTCGCGAGATTCAAGCCCATCCATAAATGTTAACGATCAATCATACTCTCATGATATCTATTTTCATCATCTTGTTATGTTTCGTGGATGAATTTGGGACCAATCACCTCTTGCCCTTTCAAACAAAACATCGTGATAGTACTTGTTTGGTTTGACAGTAAATAGATTACTGTCTTATTGAAATTACTTTATAAAAAACACGTAAATCTGCGCGATTATCAGATATGATTAGTTAGTTAAAACAAATCTGAAACAATAAAATCTATCAGTGTAGGGTTTTGGAGATTGTTGAATTTAGATTGATGTCATGAATGGATCAACATTAGACCACCATTAAAAACCTGGAAGCATTAGGTGGCTGTTTCGCCCTAGTATGGGACTTCTCAGCAGTACAAACTCACAATTTCTCATGTGAAACTTGGACCCAGGACCTTCAGTCTTGCGCGCGAATGCTTAACCTCTAGACCAGTGAGCCGGTATCCAACAGTCCTAGGTTCGAGTCTTGCGTGTGGGATTGTGATTTCACACTATCAAGGAGTCCCATACGAGGACAAAACGGTTGTCTAATGCTTCCAGGTTTTCAATGTTGGTCTAACATTGATCCCTTCATGATATCAATCTTAAAAAATTTATATTGACTAATACACGTTTAAATAAATGTTTCAAAAGTTTAAAACAGGTCATTGGTATTCAAATATTAAAGTTCTTCATCCTTTCTTTTGTCATAGCTCTGTTTAGAAATACCAGAAGAGGATATCATTTATAAATTTGTGGAACATTCATCATTAACAAAAGGTCGTTTGATTACATTTAGAAGTAAGCCATCGATATTTATAATGATAATAATAGTAATGCTACTAGTCAACTTTTCAAAATTCAACAGATTTATACCCTAATAATAATCTAGAGAATGATGGAGACCATTTTCAAAGGTCGTTTCACGACTTTAGATGGGACTCAGTTTTAGACGTTCAAATCTCGCGGTGAGCATTCATGATACCTTTGTACAACAATGCCATCCACTGGTAGCTGCTTCCTCACTTTAGATTTGGTTGACTTAGAAATTTATTGCCTCCCACAATAAAAACTGTAGATTCACCTTGAAGTTCGTTGTGAGCACACGAATAATAACGTCTTCAACCATTGATTGTTGCTATCACCCATACCCCGACCAGGAGGTGTGTATAAACCAGAGCAGATCAGATAAAAAGTCACTGACTTAATTTACTGATGTCGTATCTTGCTTTGACCAATCCTAGCTATTTCTTAGTGTCTTTTCTAGTCGTCACTGGACGTTGTAGCACGCGATGATTGGTTTTAAGTAATACACATTTCGAGCACCACAGTCAACGATGATTCCTTTTTATCTAATATCATTTAAAATAAATTCAGTATGTTTCAATCTGTCGTTCCACTATATACGAGCAGAGTTTCGAAGAAACCTGCGATAAAAAATGCCCTGAAGGTTCCGCATATCATCGGATTTCTAACTCATTGGCTGAATATCGTCGTGCTCGCCACGAGAACTAAAGGCACAGTATGCACATATATCAATAAGAGACCAACCAGTTGCAATCCTAAATATCAATGGGAACATCCAAACAAACAATACTAAGTAAATTTCAACTTAACCTCATTGCACAAGCAAGTGGCTATGAGGACTCAGTGGCCGAGTGGATAACGCGATGGTGTTTGAAGCGGATGGTACTGGGTTCGAGTCCCAGAGTGAATATCAACTCTGAGATGCAGGTGCATCCAGCTGACGAGTCCCAAATAGGACGAAGTGGCGCGCGTCCTGGATTCCACTGTTAGCCACTATCCATCTTTGCTTATAATAAATACATAATTTTGAGGATAAAATAGCTCAATTAGTTTCTATCAAAATAACAATGTATTCGAAATAAACAGGTTGGATGGAGATGAGATACAATTACTTGTTATTGATCATTTCCCAAGGAGCGGTTAATGAATATAATTTTTGTTGTTCAGGCTGTTTTTATTAGCACATATATAGAGCGCTTCAACTGTCAAGCTTTATGTGTCCTAAACCCTTTCTGAGGTATTTTGGTCCTTTCGAAGTTGATCTTGTATCCTTTTTCTAACTCACGTAACACTATCGCCAACCTATTCTAAAGTTTCTTTAGATTAACCGAAGATTCGGGAACATGTTTCAATCATTGTTTGTATTCCTTCAACCTCATATTCTAGATGTCTAGATATTTCTACCACATAATCTGCATTATAATCATGAAAATTGATTCCATAGACAACATTCTATTGTTCTTCCTTTGGAAACTTATCCTTAATTTTCACTAATCCGGATCTTATGGTGTCACTAGCTCGAAAGTGTACTCTTATATTATGTCTGCTTAGAATCCTTTTAATTTCTTCCACTGTTTCTCAGTGCTGCCCAAAAAGAAATTAACCACGAACAATTATCATTTTTGAGACCGAAGTTTTCTAGACACTTTGAAGTATAAACTCTTTGTTAATGTATCGCAGTCAGTTCAATGCAGAATTATGTGTTTTTTAATTTTAATGATTTGTAGCGATTCAAGAATTGGATTTCTTTTCGGAATTCCGCCTCGTTGGGTGGATCAATCATCAGTTTATACACCTACGCCATTGTGATCGATTCTGAGCCATGTCACCCAGAGTCTTCAACCATTGGTTGCGATAGTCATGCGGACCCCGACCAAGTAGTCTTCATCTATCATCATGGCTCGGGTTAGAAGTTAGTGACTTCAAGCTCTGATGCCATGTTTTGGTTTGACTACCCCTAACTCTCGTTCAACCATCCCCTATACTGGTCAGCATTGCGCGTCGTGGTAATCGGTGTTCAGGTATACGTAACACGTGACCCAACCATCTCAGTTGATGAAGATTCATGATCTCATCAACTGATTTACCATCATTCCCTAATACCCTGTGTCTAACCTCACTATTAATGACCCGGTGATCCTAGCAGATGCGAGGAATATTTCCGTACCCATCAACATATCAAAACTAATTTAATTAGACTAACAGTATCTAAGCACAATAAACTAGAAAATTAATGTAATGGTTAGTAATTAAGATTAATAGGACTTAAATCTATTATCGTATTGTTGATGGTTCTGTTTCATAAATACATGAACTAAGGTCATGAAAACTTTCTTTCATATTTAGGGTGTATTAATCTTCTGTCATTCAAAATAATCTCTTAATTCTAGCAATACACTAATCTTATTTCCGTTTTCATTGCTTAAGACATCACTAGAAGTTTCCAAAAATCATGCTTTTTCAATTGGCTCTTAGCTCAGCATTTTCACGGAATCCTATATACAGTAACCCTCCAAACAGTAAAACAACGATCAGACAACATAAGTGACTACTTATGTTCAACATTTTTATCAGTATACCAGGTAGACAAACGTTATAGCCTTACATAATCCCTATAATCTTCATTGCCTGCATAACGAAAACCGTTTAGTTAATTTAGAAAGACCTATTCTCCTCAATATGTTAGTTCCTGTCTTGATGTGAATTTTTCCTTACTATCTGTATTGTTAACTTTAGATCCTTTGAAAATATTCCTTGAAGATGAAGAAAATGATGAAATGAATAATTATTCACTCTTACGATTTCTATATGAATTAGGTAATGTAATATCATGGTTTTACTTGTAAAAATGGATCTATTGTTTTTATATTTACATTTGTGTATTTGAACTGCACTCCCATTGATTTGATTACTGACTATTGGTCAGTGTTGTATTTCTTTAGTTCTGCCTAGTGTTTATCGAACTCTATCAATCAAGCTACAATGTAGTTATTAGTCTTAGTGGATCAACATCTCGTTTTGATGTTAAGTAGTTGAAGGTAGTCGGGATAAATCTTAGATCTAGGCTTCGTGTTAAATGACATTCATCAACAAAGTGTACCTGCAGTCTTGAAGAAACTGATGCTTCCTGTAGAACTTATACACCTGTATCATTGTAAAGTCAACTTCTGTAAACATTTGCTAGGATAGATTAAGTCACATGGATTTATGGAATTAATAAATGCAATAGGAAATTTGTGCCAGCAGGATAACTCTTCTTGTCAGCTACTGTACCATCACAGAACAAGTAGAAAGCATCAGTTATAGTTTCTAGGTGTTAAGCGGTGCACTTTATCCTTTTGTTAATGGTTCTGTAACTTCTCTATTGTAAGTAAACAGAAATATTTTCTTAACATCCATTTAGTGATATGTTCGTCCATAAACTTTCTAACATATCCATTCATTATTGATAACTTGTATCCTCCCATTGACATTTAGAACTGCGATTGATCAGTCTCTTCATTGACATATATGCATTCTGTCTGGATTGCCTCGATATTGCCTTAAGTCACAAACATTATAAGTAGAGATGAATGGTGGCTGGTAGTGAAATCCAGTTTGAAGCTCGTTTCGTTTTATTTGGGACTGGCCAGCTGGATGTACCTTCATCCTATACTTAATAGTACGCAGATGTTTCTAAGCACTTATATTTTTACCTGTTAGCTTTTCTTCTCTTTAAGTGTCCTTTAGTAATTGCATTTCAAAGTATAAAACTATTTAAAAAATATACACCATAACAGCCATTAGTCTTGATAATTTTACTTCTTACGACTGTTACCCCTCGTCGAGGAGCATTGGCCGATCACCAGCATTCTCCATTCAACTCTGTCCTTAGCTATCCTTTCCAGTTATTTCCAGTTAACATTCATCCTTTTCATATCTGCTTCTATTTCCCGACGTAATGTGTTCTTTGGCCTTCCTCTTTTCCGCTTCCCTTCCAGATTCCAAGTTAGGGATTGCCTTGTAATGCACATTGGTGATTTCCTTAATGTATGTCCGATCCACTTCAAACGTCTTTTCCTAATTTCCTATTCGGCTGGAAGCTGGTTTATCCTCTCTCATAAACCGCTGTTTCTGATAGTATCCAGTCAATGAATGTTGAGTATTTTGCGTAAACAACTGTTTATAAATACTTGTACCTTCCTGATGATGATCGTAGTAATTCTTCACGTTTCAGCTCCGTACAGTGAGTGGTATATTGCAAAATATATGGATACTAACAGGGGGACCTCATAACTGTAATTTTATGAACAATTCGAACTGACAAACGTCACATATTTTCCAAGAAAGTTAAATTAAACAGTTTATTCGTTCGTGTTTTATAACACTTTCATATTCAGTATTAATCAGAGAGTCGGAGGGATGGACTGTTGTCGCTATTTAGGTTTGTAGGGCATTGAAAAAGTAGATAATTCGTTTGATTTGTAAAAGACAACCGTATTCACGTTTAAAGATGTATGAGTGACCACTTCGTTTGCATACGTACTCAATCGCGACACTGTTCTATCTTTAGTATGATATTGTGTTACATAAGTTCCTTTTTACTTTTCTGTAGATAACGGGTGCAATAGTGATGTAGAAAATGAAAATCCAACTGAGAATTTTGAAAATATCAAGGATAATTATTATGAAAGTGAAAAATCAAGTGAGTTGATAATACCATTCTATTTTTCTGCAACTTGAAATATATCAGCCCCAAAATTCCCTGGTACGGCCGAGAGTGGGGAGGATCCGCCGTCTCTCTCTCGAAATACCCTAACACGGCCACGCGTATACAGCCTCTGCCAGGGAAGTCCTACTCACTACCTTCTCGTGACACTACTGTTGTTTACGAAATTGAGAGGACGAACAGCGAATGTCCGGCACTTTAACCGCATTGATCAGATCTTTAGGTCAAAGGCTCGGGGTGTGGCATCTTATGAAAACCACCTGCTTCGGTTTGGTCACCCGGGCAGTATCACAGCCCTCACACAAATCAAATGAGACTTGTATAATAATAATTTATATTCCTAGTTAGTGACTCGAAAGAAACCTTACAATTAGGGTAATATACAAAATCTTCAAGGTAAATGGGTAATAAGTACACTGAACTCTCGTTCAGTTCGTGATTTGGGGACTTGTTCCGTGTTCTTGCTTCGCTGCATGGGAATTGTATTGGTTACCGTTTCAAAGCATAGGGAGTAAGGTTAAAGAATTGCAATGGCCCACGATTTTCATGTATAAATGGTAAGATGATGGACCCAACAGAATTGATACGTAGTTAATAACATCAGCGGTACTCCACACATAAAAGGAAGATCCCTCAGCAGATATCACAGTGACGACACAGACAAAACATACAACCTCTGATTTACACTAACTTACTGTTTTTAGTCGATTAACAATAACTATAGACTTATCTGAAGTATCTTAAATAATAATAATAATAAATCTTAAATAAACTTATTATTTAATCAGGTTATCAGGACTATCAGGACTCAGTGGCCGAGTGGATAACGCGATGACGTTTAAAGCGAAAGGTACTGGGTTCGAGTTCCAGAGTAAACAACAACTCTGAGGTGCAGGTGCATCCAGCTGACGAGTCCCAAATGGGACGAAGCGGCGCGCGTCTTGGATTCAACTGCTAGCCACTATCCATCTTTGCTTAATTAGATTAGTTTTCATCATGAACTGATATAAGTCAAAAAAGTGAAAAAAACTAGGAATTACGGTAAGACTGTTGCCTTCTATATTAAAATTACTCGGCATCGTACAATCGGTTCTTCCTCCCTATTCAACTTAGAATTGAAATAAAGACATTCATATCTTTTAGGAATCATGGCAATTTCCGATCAAAATCAGAATTCAATAGTTCATGTTTCTAACCTCAATGTATTAGCGAATTGTCGTTTTATTTGATAAATGCCTCATACACGATATGTTTAGGCATAACCAATGACGACTTTTGACTAGCTTCATTCTTTGAAGCCAATCTTTTGTAAGAACTCAATATTGATTAGTCCAATGGTTTGTGGTGAATACTTTTAATCTAAGGAATGAAATACCTGTCCGACTCTATCATGTTTTTCATTATTTATCCACACGTAATATCAGATAAATGTTTGACCTGTCATCATTGAACTATAAAAACATATTATGATAACGCGTTTGGAATTTGAAGGGAAAGACACTGGGTTCGAACCACGCGGTGGACACCAACTTTAGGATGAAGATACCTTCAACTACAGAGGAGTTTCAAATGTGAAGACGTGATTCTTAGGTTCCTCTATTAGCCACAGTCTATCTATTTTATATATACTTGTGTCATAATAGCCATACCAAAGCAATCCTCCCAGAATCCAATTATGCCAACTAAGACTGATCAAATTCCACTCAAAATACCAGTAGCGGTGTAATCCAAGTCATCGCCATTGAAATATATTTATTTTGTGTATTTAGGAGTTAAAATCAACGTAATTAAGATGATTTATTTATTTATTTTTATTCATCGATTTTAAAGGTGAATCATCTCCTCCAGCATCACCATCACTTGCTGAAAAAATGATTAAACCACCTGTAAAGAAAAAGAAAAATTCCAAATCATCATCATCGTCGTCTTCCTCTTCTTCACCATCGTCGTCGTCATCACCATCATCATCGTCGTCATCATCATCATCATTGCATTCACCTTCTTCAAAGTTGAATTCACCTGAAGTAATTTCAACAAATATCTTCTCAAATCAATCAAACGGTTCATTGACATCAAATACTTTAACACCAACATTTGAAAAAGAATCTGAAAATCAACCATCCACCATGGAACAAGAATTAAATCAACCTGACAAAATACTTGATTTAGAACGGATAAACACAGGTGAAAATAAGACTGTTGAACATCCTATTGAAAATACTATAAATACTGTTACTGATGAAAATATGAGGAAGAGGAGGAGTAGTAGTACTGAATCTTTGGAAAACAACACTAAACATGATCCTACTATTACTTCGTTTATTCACAATGACAATGTTCAGCAAAACGTTGGTAAGAGAGATATTTGTTTTCATGTATTTCTCACCAATTTTCTTTTTATGTGATCAGAGTGTTTCGTAGTTGTGTCTTCTTGTGATAGAAATAAAATTTAATCTATACAAATGTCATATTTTCAGAAGTGGGTTTTGTGCAGGAGTCTCACAATAGAACAAAACGGCCGTCCAATGCTTCCAGGTTTTCCATGATGGTCTAGCTTCAATTAACCCATGATTTCAACTATGAAAATACTGAAATCTTCACAAAACCCCTTCTGATCTATAATCATTTGCTCACTAGTGACTGGCTCCATGAGAGATTTCCTGGAGTTCTGGTGAGAAGCGGTTACCAGTGGAGTTCAACCAGATCTGTTGGGAGATATCAACTCACTGAAAACATTGGTGAATGGTTGCTCAATTTCACGGGTTGGTTGAAGTTAGACATTAACATCATTGGATGTCGGCTCAGTGGTCTAGTTATTAAGTGCTCGCGTTTCGGGATCGTGGATGAACACTGTTGAGGAGTCCCACAATAGGACGAAACGGCCGTCCATTGCTTCCAGGTTTTTCATGGTGATCTAACTCCAATTGAATCTTGATCTCAACTATATAGAAAAATGTCATATTTATTGAGGATACTATTGAATAGGGGGGTGATTCAATATATATAGTATCAAATGATAGTTGTATTCATTAATAAGGTTATGTGTGCTTTGGGTTAATTATCGAAACTTTCATTTTGAAAATCAAGTATTAAACACAAACTTTTGTACACCTTACGATTATACTTACACGTAAACTCTGATTTAATGGTTTTATAAAAAGTATCTGTAAGTGAAATGTATCCTACATGAGTCTTATAACAGATTCCTCATTTCAATTACGACGTTATAATTGGTTTGTTAAATACTTCTGCATCTTGCTCGTCAACTACACTTTGAGAAGAACCTTCGTAATTGGTTGTTACTTACTTTAGAAGGTGCATCGGCCTCGTGACTTTCGAAAAATTTCGGCTTTCATTATGAGGCGTCATGATTATTCCTTCAACTCCCAGGGCAGAGTTTAAATGGTTTGAATTATTTTTTCTGGTCTTCGCAAAGTACTCAACATTCACTGTCCGGATATTATCAGCAACAGCGTTTTATGGGAGAGGACAAATCAACTTCCAGCTGAAGAGGAAATTAGGAAAAGACGTTTGAAGTGGAACGGACATACATTAAGGAAATCACCAAACTGCATCGCAAGGCAAGCGCTAACTTGGAATCTGGAAGGGAAGCAGAAAAGAGGAAGGCCAAAGAACACATTACGTCGGGAAATAGAAGCAGATATGAAAAGGATGAATGTTAACTGGAAATAACTGGAAAGGATAGCTAAGGACAGAGTTGGATGGAGAATGCTGGTGAGCGGCCAATGCTCCTCGACTAGAGGTAACAGACGTAAGTATGTAAGTAAATAAGTAAGGGCTACCTCGAAAATTCATCGTTTTTATCACCAAAGGTTTGATGTTTATCTCAATTGTCACTATAAAATGGTTAAAAATATATCGAAAATCACAAAGTACCGGTCATTTATTTCACTTTAGTTCAGTAGTCCATATTCACTCAAGGTCTCGTGCAAATTCGAAACCGAAAACACTTTGTTTCTTGTTTCATAATTGTTTTTAGAATTGATCGATTGTGTCTAACAATGGGATTTAGGAATTGTCTTTGGTCCTATTTATGTCTTGTCAGCAGATTGTATCTCCAACCCAGTGTAGATGTTGAAACTTCGACCGTGTATTTTTCTCTTCAAACACCAACACGTTTTTCTACTGAGCTACTGACTTCAGATACCTAAAATCTTGTACAAACGGTATGATGTTTCTGTCACTGTTAATGATAATTTGAGTTTTTTTCATAGTTGAAATCAGGGGTCACTTGAAGCTAGACCACCATGGAAAACCTGGGAGCACTGAACAGCCGTTTCACCCTGCTGTGAGACTCCCCAGAAGTGCGTACCCACGACCCCACACTCGCGAGGTTCGAACCCAGGACCTACCAGTCTCGCGCCAGAGCACTTAACCACTAGACCACTGAGCCGGCATCCGATGGTGTTTATGTCTAACTTCAACCAATCCACGAAGTTTGAGCAACCATAATGCTAATAGAAGACAGTGAGTAGGATTTCCCTGGTAGAGGCTATATACGCGTGGCCATGTGAGGGCATTTTGAGAGGGAGAGCGGACTCTCCCCGCTCTCGGCCGTACCCGGGCATTTGGGGGCAAGTTGGTTAGAATATGTTATCTTATGTATATGTAGATCAACACCGATGTAATTTGATTGTGATCACTTTATACTATTTCCTTTATTTTCAAATTTATTAGAATTTCAATCATCATCAGTAACAAGTGATCAATCCATGGAATTAAAATCATCATTATTATACAAGAAGAATCAAGTTGTAGACGGTATTTCTCAACATTCTTTACCTACATCATCGTCAGTATTGCCTTCATCTACGATTAGTTCTTCGTCTTCTTCTTCACCATCATCGCCATCATCTCCTCCAGTTTTTACTACTACTACTTTCATTCGTCTAGAAAAATCACAACTATCATCTAATTCTTCCACTGATGATATTTCAATAAAATCAACGAATTCAAAAGAAACACACAATCACTCTAATCATTGTATAGTAACTAACAATACTGATTATGATATGTCAACAAAATTCACTGAACCTTCACAAGAATCTGATGATATTGACTTAAATTTTTTGTCATATACAGTGATATAAACTGATGGAAATAATGACAATTGTTTGTTTTTCAGAAAGGGTTTTTTGTGTGTGGAGATTTAGTACTTTCATAGTTGAAAGCGTAAGTCCATTGAAGCTAGACCATCAGGGAAAACCACAATAGGACGAAACGGCAGTCCAGTGCTTCCAGGTTTTCCATGGTGGTTTAGCTTCAATTGACTCATGATTTCAACTATGAAAATTGTCTGTTTGTTGTTATTTTCTACAAGAGGCGATATTTATTCTTTAACATTACCTATTATTATTATTATTATTATTATTATTATTATTACTATTCTAGATCTCTTAATTTACATTTTGTTATTATTGATTGCTTGCGTTCTCTGTTTATATATGACGTGATGATCCCCGCCAATCAGATAGGAGTGATTTATCAATCAGAGCAATGATACACAAATACCGTATGAGCCGTCTTGAGCACTACTCGGTCCTGCTATCTGCCTAGCCCAGATAGTTATGTCCAGAACACCAATAACAGCTTCTGCAATATGAATCATTGTATTTCAAGCATACTGAGTTTATATACCAAACAAACTGACCACATTGTACCATAAAATAGGAAACAACATTTGTACAAGATTTGACCAAATATGGCTGCGAATATGGGGGAACAGTAATTCATGGACTAGGGATAACTCAAGAATGGTAAATCATCCAGTAATTGTTTACGGGTCAAGATAAAGCTTATAATAAGTGGAACACGAATACGAATAGTTTAGTTACTTAGCAATTATACAATAGGAAATGTACATATCATTGTGGTCCACAAATAGTTCTCAAAGTTACCATTCATAAATCTCCGTGGGATGTAACACATTTTAAATGGATTAGTGTTTGCTTCTTTTTTCTATGTAATTTCTATGTAATTACTCTGGCCCATAAGGATATATGATGTAACTGTGAACAAACTAGTTGATCCTGCCAGTAGTCATATGTTTGTCTCAGAAATTAATCCATGCATGTCTAAGTACATATCTTAAAACGGTGTAACCGCGAATGGCTCATTAAATCAGCTATGGTTCCTTAGATCGTAAACGCTACATGGATAACTGTAGTAATTCTAGAGTTAATATATGCCTTGAATCCCTGACCCGCAAGGGGACAGGTACATTTATTAGAACAAGAACACAAGACCATCAAATAAGAAAATGAATATTTTCCCTAATTCGTTAGTGATAATGAGCTATTTCATTGTTTTAAAATTGATCAGATTGTAGATTTTGTGGTAATTTTGTTATTTTCAGAAGGGGGGTTATGTGGAGATTTTAGTAATTTTTTTTATATAGTTGAGATCATGAGTCAATTGAAAGTAGACCACCATGGAAAACTTGGAGGAACTGGACGGCCGTTTTGTCCTATTGTGGGACTGCTCAGTGACAGTGAGTATCCAAGATCCCGCCTCGAGAGATACGAACCCAGAACCTACTAGTCTCGTGCTAGAGCACTTCACCGATAGACTACTGAGCCGGCATGCAATGGTGTTTATGTCTAACTTCTACCAATCCAGGAATTTGAACAACCGTTCACTAATTGTCTTCAGTGAGTTTCTATCTCACAACAGACGTGGTTTGTTTTAATACATCATTATGACTTAACAGTCTTCCAAAGTTTGTTTAATTACAGTCATTCAGTCAGCTACAATGTAGGACCAGGAACATATATGCATCAGTCCAAGTTGCCTCACCTCATCAGCACAACAAGATGAACATCAAATTCATAGAAGCAGTTACTTCAATGATAGTAATATATAAAAGAAAGATTATGTAAAATGATATAGTACAGGAAAAAGCAATTAGCTATTAGAAATAAAGATATAAAGCAATTTTATTCTCACGGTTTAGAGGAAGACAATGAATGTGCACACTTATGCCATTGTAATGGATTTTGAGCCATGCCACTCGGAGTCTCTAACCATTGGTTACGATAGTCACGCAGACCCCAACCAAGTAGTCTGCATCTACCAACATGGCTTAAACTAGAAGTTAGTGACTTCAAGTACTGATGTAACGTTTTGGTTTGGCAGACCCTAACTTTTTTCCAACTGTCTCCAGCACTAGTCACCTTTGCGTGTCGTGATAATCGGGGAATGGACGTGCCAAACGAGCTTTTTGAATCCGTTGTCGATTGTCTATCTTGGTCTATCATAACAACACTCATGGTCTCATTTGTCTCAATCCATGATTGACTACTTCTGAAGTTCAGTTATATGAATTAGATTTTATTCACTCGAACAATCAGAAGTATCATGGCAAATAATTCTAGAGCTGGATTAGTGTTTAACATATTTTGTTTCCAACCAGTAGGTAGGTTTAAGGTTTTGAACATGTTCTATATAGTTTAAGTTGGACAACCAAGTAGCATCATTAGTCATTAAATAAACTTTATAGTTATATTAATTTTAATGGTAAAAATCAACTTTTGCAACCACCATCTAACTGATTCAAGAACAGTTTAAGCACATAATTCTTTGAGTTCTAGTGAGAAGCAGTGACCAGTGGAGTTCTATCACGTCTGTTATAGAGATATCAACTCACTGAAGACAACTGATGAACGGTTGATCAAAATCGTGGATTGGTTGAAGTTAGACATAATCACAGTTGTTTGGCAGCTCAGTGGTCTAACGGTCAAGTGCTCTGGCGCGAGGCTAAAAAGTACTGGATTCGAATGTCGCGAGTGAGGGATCGTGGATGCTCAGTGCAGCGGAGTACCACGATAAGAAGAAACGGCCGTCCAGTGATACCAGGTTTTCCATGAAGGTCTAGCTTCAAGTGAACCATGATTTCAACTATGAAAATAAATAACTATCCAGTCCACTAACAATTCACTGATCATCACACACACCGAGATTACACCACACATCCCAACTCAGAGAGAAAACGGACCGAATGTTGTAATTGATTAGGTCGTTTATTTATTGGAAATGTGTTAACACAATTGCGTGTAAATTTGTCGATAGATTATGTACACACATGTTTGACTAAATGACTGACTGACTGAATGGATGGATGGATGAATGAATGATACGAGCTGGTATTGTTCAAATATTTGAGCGTACAAAATCCAACATTCTAGCCACACTAGCATACTCGACAATGATATCGGGAAGGTTTGGCAGTGTGACACCATGTGATACGACACCGAGTACTGGACCTTGAGGGGATGGAAGGAGAGGTCCACCACTGTCACCTGGAGCGGGTAACTGTCCGAAATTCTGACCTGCTTTTACACAAATAGGATTCCCATTGGTCGCGTGTCGGCATTCCATTATAGTCGCTCGACCTGTGTCAAACAAATAACACAACAGTACAGTAGAGTGCAGATCAGATCAGAAAAGAACAAAATACAACAGAACAAACAAAACACACAAGTGAATTTCGAAAATATCAACTCGCACAATTATCCACCTTCAAACTACCCACACAACAAATAGTCCACATACAATCTCACATGTGCACTATAGTCGACAATTAAGTCACTCTTCATCTCACCACTCTCCAAACATATACATCAAACACATTGACCACCTACTTCATGTACAACAACACACTTCCATCGTTTGCACAGATATTTTATCAGTCTTCTCTCCTCCAAGTGGTCTCAATCATACCATCACATCTCATCTCATCCCATACAATCCCACCTCAACTCACATCACGTCACCTCACCAACACAATGACCGGGATGGAATCACTCTGCTACTGAACTGTCACAAGTTCATCCAAACACAGTTGTTATTGTTAAGGCTCTGATCAACACAACAACCGGATCAAACAAACAGACAGACAAACAGATACACAGACACCCAGAATAACTGACTGAGTCATGTTGTTTGTTCACCACCAACTCACCTTTCTTCAAAATTCCACCATTTTTACGTGACGGATCACGGTCGTTATCATCCCTTCCATAACCAACAATGAAAACACCAGTTCCAGGTTCCGGTATATCCAATGCCTGTGGCAGACTGATCACTGTGATTCCACTCTGTAAGTTGACCATTTGAGCCAGCATTACAATTGCAATGTCGAATCCACTGAGTGTCTGTGCGATTGGTCTCCTCTGTCGTGCCGACATACAAGAGGGCATGTATCCTGGTGCCACCTGAACTCCAGACGGTTGGTGATGGATGCCTTGTTGGTCGCCATTCCTCAGTGTGAGAAACGAAACCTAAAATAGACAAAGCATATCCACATTAGATCTATGCAAACCCACTGCGTAAACAAACACAAACACTGTCTGTGAAATCAATCGATTACGTTGAGCAACAATGTGTTTCAGTGTGATCTCTTACCCGAATCACTGGCAATGGTGAGCAAACACAATGACCAGCTGTGAGTACTGCTCTCGTTGAGACCAGTGAGCCTGTACACATTGTTCTCTCTGTCGTTAAGAATGCGATGAACGGGAATTCAGTGCGGTGTTGCACAGGTTCACCACTACGTATCAACCAGGTTGACACACGTTCAAATGTTAGACAGTAGGTGAACAGCGTCACCACCAGAAACCTCCATCGATTCGACATGTATGTGATTCTGTATGTGACCGTTGCAATCAACCACTACATTGTTGCAACACATTCACACCTATTTATATGCGCCAATATTCCATGACTGTTGAGTACATGTGAGTGAGAGATTTTGCATGTGTGTCAGTCAGTGTATGTGTGTTATTATTATTATTATTATTATTATTATTATTCATTTTGTGGGAAATACAACTTGCACTCCATTTCAATCATGCATTGTTGTGACGCTTTCACTTTGTAGTGATGACACGTGCCAATTATTAATCGGGAAGTGCACGATTCTCGTGTATTGTCATGGCATATTTCGCTGTATGACAATGTTGCTCAACTGTTCACGAGAGTATGTTGCCATAAGAAAGAAACCACTCTTCACAAATTCAATCACTCATCATCATCATCATCATCATCATCATCATGTTCATCACTAGCAGCAGCAGCAGCATGACTTTGAAAA